AGTCTAGAAATCCTACAAATTCCTAGTTCGCTTAAACTAATGCTCTGATACCAACTGTGACATCCCCAAAATCACGGCCAGAAAAGACCGGTTTTGTTTATACTTTATTTCAAAATCAGAGTTATCTTTTAATAAAAGGTTGCGGAATTTGTCCCAAAACAATAATATGATAAAGATTTATCAAAAGCATTTCCATAGAAATGTATTTCATTAAAAGACTCGGGATGTCATGTTCGTACAGATCAAAAGTATAAACAGTACAATATAAGCCTTACTACATTATTTCATATCTACAGGCCTATATCCGTAATCCCTCGTCCAAAACATCACACCTATGCTCATGCGCCACTACCTGTAATACATAAAACTGAGTGGGTCAGGCTTGGGAGCCTGGTGAGCACATAGGGTTTTCAACCCACAATAAATAAGTTTATTAATTTCATCAATCAACAATAACCCGATTACCCGTTCCCGTTATCCTCACTTTACGTCCCTAAACACCTATCATAAGGGACCTAGCCTAAGGATCATCATCGGGACGAACACTACTGCTAAGGGATTCCTCAGCAATAAATGTCCTAATAGGCAACCATGTGGGGGATGGAGTACACCGGTGAACACATCGTTCACAACACCTACAGGTTGCGAAGCCTGCTAGTGTTCCACTGGACTGTCTAGAAGAGTCCGTGGTCGTCATCTATACTCCGCTAGATGACTGGATCAACAACAACAACATCGAGGCCTCTCATCATTTTATCACACATCACCTATTACATCTACCCATGTTTTACCCCAACATTTTCGTAGATATAAAATACATATACAGTTTAAATCATTGAAAACATGTATAAAACGTTCATCTAGCATAGATAGCAAGTATTCAGATAATATGCACACATAGCACGTAATTTATATAAAATACTTCATATCTATGTGTAAGTTGAAGGTAACTATGCACTCACCGGAAAAGGTGGTGATTCCGAACTCAGACAGCGCTTCGCTTCTTAAAAAGAATTTTTCTTCGACGAAACCTAGTATTATTACCACTAGAGTTTAGTTTATTATTCGTCGAGACTAATTAATAGTCTAGCTATTATTATTATTATTATATAAGCGTCAAAAAATACTTATATAACCCATAATAATAGCCCAAGTATTTATTATAAGTTCCTAATAACGTTACTATAATTAAATAAAAGTTATATTAAAAATAGCGTAGGCGTAGCTCACTTACAGCGGGTTTTATAGAAAACCGGGCTTTGCTTGGAGCAGCGTTCCCGAGCCGAAAAGCTCTTCTTCTCGGAGCCTTCGAGCACTCCGGGGCTTCCGCCTCGTGCTAGGGAGGTTCCCTAGGCTTTTCGGGGGATTTCGGGGCTAGAGAGAGGTTCTAGAGAGAGAGAGAGAGAGTAAAGAGAAGAAAGAATGGGAAAGGTGTGAAGAAAATGAGGGTGGGAGAGGTGGTATTTATAGGGTGAAATGTGGCTGAACTTGGTGCCACATGTCACCATCTGGTGGCAAGCCTTGGGGAGAAAGCAATGGCCAAGATTGTGCCACATCACCCATTTTCGCACAGCACACTTCCGACTTCTAAAATCCGTAACTTTCACATACGACCTCCGTTTTTGACGTTCTTTATATCCACGCGTAGGTAATAATAAGATCTACAACTTTCATTTTGACACCGTCAGCTAATTCTCGACCGATCTTAAATTTAACAGTACAAGGAGATTATACTGTTAAACGTCTGCGTAAAATTAATAACTTCTACATACGGACTCTGTTTTTGTCTGTCTTTTTACCGTTGATTTCCTATTAATGAGATCTTCAACTCTCATTTACGTTGCGTAAGCCAAAAACCGCTCGAACTAAAATTCGAGTTTCAGGTCGTGCACTGCTAAGCCGAATCTTAGAAAAATCATAACTTCTTCATACGAAGTCAGATTTGGGCGTTCTTTTTATCGATGTTCTTAGTTTAACATATTCTACGACTTTTGTTTAGATTGCTAAGGCTAAAAAGTCTTCTATCGTAAATTCACTATTTACGTCTCCCGGTGTCGTGCCGGTTTTGTCGTAAAACTTCGGCGGGCCATAACTTCTTCTTTATAGCTCGGATTTCGGCATTCTTTATATGCACGGAAACCTTGAGACATATTCTACAACTTTATGTAGAGATATCGGGATTATCTCACACTTTAATTTTGACGCTCATTTTTATTCTTTATTAATTATACATTTATAATTAAATAATAAACACATAAACACACATAATTCACATAATACTCAAATATTTCATATTTATTACTTCAAAAAGAGTTACAATAGTTGACCTAGACTATTACATTGACAAAAATGCTTAGCCCTGAAAACCCGGGCGTTACAGTGTGGTATTGGTATTTTGGGGGTAGCTCACTAAGCCCTCGGGCTTACAGTTTTCAGTTTATTGTTTCAGGTACTTCAGGATATCATGGAAAGGTGAAGGCGTGACCGTACCACTCTTCATCCTTATGTTATGATTTTTGGGACACTCTGATGGATAATGATTTGAAAACATTTTGTGAACAATGCTATTTGGTTTTTATTTATGATTGAAATGTTTAAATTTAGCGTAAAATTTATGGATGTTACAAGTTGGTATCAGAGCATTGGTTTGAGTGAATTGGAGGAACACTCGTGTGAATCCAGTCTCAAATCAAGGAGATTTTCGGAAAGTAAGTTTTAAAATGCTTTTCAAAATAAAGGATGGAGGATGCAGAGGGTACGATCAGCCGGAACCTGTAAGTAAACCCCAAAATACCATGCAGTTATTTGATATTCTGATGTGTTAGAACAACATGCTAGTGCTAGGCTAGGGATCTTCAGGAATCGCATGATAGATTTTCCTGATTACTGTAGATGTTTAGTGTATGCATCATGGCTGTGCATAATAAAGACCTTATAGCCTGAGAATGTTGATTCTGCCTTCGGGTAGGATTGGATATTTGAAAGTCTATTAGGTCTAGCGTTATGTGCAACTAGCATGCACTAGCGCTGCAGGGGATGATGGAAGTTTCATGGATATGTGAGTCGTGATAAGTGGTGAGACTAAATGCGAGATATTTGGTATTTCCCTAGAAGTGAGGGTTGAGCGCATTTCCTATGTTGATGATATTGTTAGGGCATTATGGTGATACTTGAGACAAATATGGGTAGGTGTGGAAGGTAGTATGGGCTCGTACTATTGAAAGCACAGCACCCATACGCGTAGCAAGGAAATCACAACCCCTAGGGTTTGTAGGTTTTGGTCTCCCGACATTATGTTATTTATCTGGTGACTTGTATATATATTTCAGTATGGTGGTGATGAGACGTGTTGCTTCTGGATCCGGATCAGGATCAAGATCAGGATCGGGGTCGGGAGACAGAGGGTTGGAGGTGTCGGTAGCACCTGAGCCCGTTGTACAGATAGGGACCGAGGAGTTGGATGCCAGGATCGGGGAGATCATGCACGACGAGATTGTTGTTGCATTCCGAGCGCAGTTGCCATAGATGTTTGGGTCGATTAAGACCACGATGGTTGAGTACTTTGATGAGCGATATACAGCTCTAGCAGAGACAGCAGTCGTTGCAGCCACTGCGGTTGTAACTGCGGCAGGGGTTGGAGGAGGAGCCGGCAGGGCTTTCCAGTACCGGGACTTCGATAATACGAAGCCCCCGACATTTGATGGTACACAGGATGCGATCAGGGCTATGAGGTGGTTGTCTGACGTGGAGGGCTATTTCTTCACGTTCTCTTGTCCTGCTGACCAGAAGGTCAGATGTGCTCTGAACCTGCTTAGGCTCGGGGCAAAGGACTGGTGGAGATTAACGACAGGTTCATATTCTGATGATCAACGGGCTGCTATTACTTGGGAGCAGTTCCGAAATACGTTTCGCACCTGCTACGTTCCGCACGTGGAACGGGAGCGGCTTGCTCAGGAGTTTTTGACATTGAGACCGGATGGGGAGTTTGTGATGGAGATCACTCGGATGTTCACTGAGAGGGCTATGTTTTGCCCGGAGTTTGCGTCAGAGCAGTCTCAGATGACCCGTTATCTGAGTATGCTCAAGATGGATATACGACAGTTTGTGGCTACACAACGTTGTGATACCCTCTTGGACCTTCAAGAAGCCGCGAGGCGGCGTGAGTTGGAAATAGAGCTGCAGCTGAAGGAGCAGCGTCAGGCACCGACACAGTCTCAGCCTGCAGCTGAAAGAGCAGCGTCTGGGGGCCATCAGAGCCGCATTTGTGGAAAGTATGGCAAGGCTCATTCGGGGGTTTGTTAAACACCCCCTAATTAGGAGATATAATATGATATAATTTTGCCATTAAACCTTCCAAAAGTAGCATTTAAAACTTCTAAAAGTATCTTTTAAAACTAATTTTGCCAAACATCTTTTGCTTTTTTTTTCTTTTCCAAAAATAACTTTTGGTTGTGAAAAATTAAGCCAAAGACTCCCTAATTAGGAGATATAATATGATGACACATGACAAAGAGAGAATAAAATATGTATTAATTAGGAGATTTAATAAGATAACACATATCAAGAGGATAATAAAATTATTCTTAATTCTTTTATATATATATATATATATATATATATATATATATATATATATATATATATATATATATATATATATATATATATATATATATATATGGTTGAAGCAACTTGAATATATTTATTTACAATAAATGGAAGATAAAACTGTAAAAATTGTAAAAATGGTTTATATAGTTTTATCTTCAATTTATCTTCAATTTATTGTAAATAAATATATTCTAAGGTTGCTTCAACCAAATCCATAATATCCAAGGAGTTCATAAGTTTGATTGTTTAACTGATGTATAACTTCTTTTATTGTTTCTGCAATATATAATTTATTTAGCATTT